GGGCAAAGTATTTTTACAAGCAAAACGAGAAATAGCAATTGACTGTTTTATAAAAATAATTAGAATAATAAAGATAATGATTGGGGAAAACAGAAAAGATATGGAATGTTGAAGTGGGGAGATTAATGTCTCTGTACTGACTGACGTGCGTGGCATTCCCTTTTGAAGAAACAATGTAATACACTGTAAAGTTATATGTAATCCAATGTAATATGAAGAAGATATGATGATAATAAAAAAAAATTATTGCTGAGTGAAGCAAACCAGGCTATAAAAGAAAGACATTGTATGTCTCCACTTAATTCGTACTTACTGTCAGCATTCTATGGAGGAAACGGAAAGATTAGAGGATTTAGAAGCGTGAAAATGGGTACAGACACAGAAGACAGTGTGGGAAGAGGGTTGGAAATAGGGGAGAGTGAGAGGAAAGGAATCAAGAAGAAAAATAACAGGGAAAAACATTTAAGGGACACAGAAATGGAAGATTATCTGTTGATGATAGCATGTTATCTCTTCAAGTAGAGTGGTGTGAATTGTATTCATATTGGGTAAATTCATTTTATAATCTATAGTGATGTATGGTGATTTAATGTATAAAATAACTTAAAATAACAAAAAAAAGAAAGTACTGAAAAGCAAGAGTAAAGCTGTTTTCTGAAAAGACCTTAATCTTGGAAATTCATACACCCTTTGTTGATGTGGTGGGTACTTATTCAACATCAATTACGTGCTTCTTTTAAACTTTTTTTCTATTCCTTTAAAATGCCATGTAATTTTTTTCTATTCTTTTTAAATGGCATCAAAGAACAAAAGCAATATCAGAGCTCCTGATTTAGTTTTTTTTTCTATATTACACACAAGAATTACAAGTTCATTTACTTAATATTTGAGATGTTTTCAGTATCTTTTACATACTATAAATATATGTTACATATATATTACATATCTATATTATGTGTATATATATAATATATATATGTAATTAAGCATGTCTGTATATCTCACAAACATTTGTCACATCTCTGAAGCTGAAAAATAACAGAGGCCTGTTCACTTGCTTGTTAAATCATGTTTAAATAGAAATCGTGGTTTAAATTAGAAGCACTTCCTTCCTATCCCTTTTAAGGCTTGTCTCACATCGTGGTTTCTCAGGCTGTAGATCAAGGGGTTTAACATGGGGATAATAATGCCATAAAACACAGAAGCCACTTTTTCCTGCTCTTGAGACTCACTGGTGCCATGGTGCAGGTACATGTAGAAGAGAGTCCCATAGAAGATGGTGACAGCTGTCAGGTGGGAGCCACAGGTGGAGAAGGCTTTTTTCCTTCCCGCAGCAGAAGACATCTTTAGGATGGCAGCCAGGATTTTTATGTAGGAAAAGATGACGACCGACACGGTGAAAGTCAAGTTAAACCCCACAAATACTGATAGTATCATGATATTGAAGACAATATCGGAGCAGGAAAGGGCGAGAATTGGGGGCTCATCACAGAAAAAGTGATTAATTGCATTGGATTTGCAAAAGTTCAATGAGAAAGTAAAACTTACATTTACAGAGGCATTTAGGAATCCCATGCCATATGAACCAACTAACAGCTGGATGCACAGTCTCCGGGACATGATGATTGGGTAGCGAAGTGGGTTACAGATGGCCACGTAACGGTCTACTGCCATAGCAGCCAGGAGGAAGCAGTCACTTGTTACAAAAGTACCATAGACTAGTAACTGCACCATACAACTTGTGAATGAGATGGATTTATCTGAAACTATGAAGTTTTGCAACATCTTGGGAGTGATGGCAGAGGTGTAGCAGAGATCAACAAATGCCAAGTTTTGGAGAAGAAAGTACATAGGGGTGTGAAGGCCAGAATCAATCTTGATGAGTAGGATCATCCCAGTATTACCCACGAGGGTGACCACATAGATGACTAGAAATATTATGAAGAGGATATGCCAAAACTTCTCTTGACCAGCAAATCCCAGGAAAATGAATTTAGTCACTTCGGTGTCATTATTTTGTTCCATGGCTAGAAAAGTTCAATTATCAGCTAAGAGCAGCAAAGAAAGAAGAGCAGATAAAGTTAAGACTATGGTGATTCTTAACTCTTTCTGGATTTAGGTATAGTATAATGTTTCATTTCCTAGTGGAATCAGTAAAAATTTTTGTGGTATAATATTTGGCTTCATAGTGGAATCAGTAAAAAGGCTTCATGCTATAATTGACTTGAATTTTACATGTTTAACCTTGATACTAAACTTAGCTAATTTCATATATAGTGGGAGAAATTCCCATAGAGCTATGTTCATACCAATTAGCATTTTATAAATATATCAGTTAGGAACATATAAAACATACTTTTATTTAATAATGAATGTACATACTTTTGTATAATTTAAATGTAATTATATTTTAAATAATTCCATATGATTATACATCTTAGGTATTCAGGAAAAAATGACAGGCACAGTAAAATAGCAAACCACAAACCACTGATAATTTGATCATAATAAAATGATAAATACTAGTATCATAAGGATACTGGATAGTGACTGGAAATTTACTAAGACAAATTTATTGCAAGACAAATAAATGTCAAAGGAGTAACACTCAGTCTTTTAAAATAATTTCTATATAGTAAACCAAGGAAAACATCTACAAAAGATGGACACTGGATAATTATAGAAGGGAAAATTAAGATATCTTATAGAAATATGAAAAGATACACAAGTTCCTAGTGATCAGTTAATTGTTTATTACTATTTCATTGACCTACAATTTTAAACTCATCAATCTAAAATGCTCTTTTGGTGAGTATATGGAGACACTTACTTCACATGTGTATCTACTTGGAAGGTTAATCAACATAGGCATGTTGGAAACAAATTTGGAAATACAGCAAAATTAAATATATGCTTCTTTATGGTTCAGAATTTCCAGTATAGGTACATATTATATTTCTGACCACATTAACAAGGATGCATGTGTGTACACACACATATATATGCGCACTGGTATGACATGTATGAATCTGTATATATGGTGAGATTTACATACTAAATTTCAGTTACTTAGGAAGAAGAAATTTTCAAGATTTATTGCAGTGTTGTGACTATAGTTAACAAATATTTTTCAAAATTGTTAAAAATGTACATTTGAAAGTTTCTCTCCACAAAAAATGTAAAGCAGGTGAAAAGATGGATGTATTAATCAGGTTGACTGAATCATTGCAGGATATATACATACACCCACACACCACCATTGCCCCTACAAATACGGACAAGTACTATTTTCAATTAAAAATAAATTGTAAAATAGAGCTGTATAGATGTCCTCTAGGTAAAGTTGCTGTAAAATAGATAAAAGGTAGCTCCTTTAATGAGGCTTCCACCCACTGTGGAAGCTAGGAAAATGGATAAAAGGAGTAAGTTGGAACAGGTCAATGGTCCACTTACACCAGAATATTGATTGGGTAATGGCATTTACCATATCAACTTAATCCTTCTGAATTCAAATAAAATGTATGATATTTTGGGGGACATTTTCAAGAGTTAAGAAAACCAGTACACGTGACACACACACACACACACACACACACACACACACACACACATCTATCTGTTATGGAGGTTTTGCTCAGTTTGAACTTTGTTTCTCCTATGTGGAGGGGGTTTGCTAGTCAAACAAATGCTATGGATAAGATGGTCAATTACCTGAGTGTTTTCAACACACTTAACCTATACTTAGTCCAGTATGCCTGAACCTTCATTGTGCTGTGGGAGGGAATGAGGCAAACTGTGGTTTGAATTCTGCTTCTACCACCTCAGGGAAGAGACATACCACCCTTTGAACTCAGTTCCTTCTTCTGAAAAAATGGAAAACAGTAATACTTAGAGGTAGAGATGGCCATTGTAAAACTGTATCTAATCGCAAAAGTTTGGAAAGAGGATTAAATAAATCACAGCAGATTCATTTTATAGATTAATATTCAATCCAGAATATATGAGATAACATATACTCTTTCTTTTTTCCTTAAAGGTTTTTGTCATAGGGTACATATGCTCTTCAGAGAGAGAGAGACAGAGATAGTGAGAGGGAAAGTGAGAAATCACCCCTGAGGGAGGTGGCCATGCCACAATCTCTTCTTCTCCATTCTCCTCCTAAGATCTTGGGCAGTCACACACAAGCGCTGGCATGAGTATGAAGTCACCAGGTCCAGACTCGAACTGCTGTTGGCCATGTAAGAATTTAGTGATGTAACCACTACTCCATCTGCTGACCCTGGTAACATATACTCTTATGGAAAAGAGCCCATGACATCTTAAAATGGAAAAGCAAGCTGTAGAATGACATGTAGAGAAGTGACATTTATAAAAATAAAGAGATTTTTCACTTTCACCCTCTCATTTTCTTTTTTATTTACGGAAAAGCTCAGAAAGACACATGCCAACCTTTTGATAATTATGCTTAGACAAGGAATGGGGAGAGAGAAAAATCATTAAACTTGTAAGTCTCTTTATCTTTCGTTTTTAAAGTAGCCTTACTTGTTTAAAAAAGATCACAAGAAAGAATTAAAGCCTGCTTTGTAGTAATGTCAAGATCGAATGAGCTAATTTATATAAACCCAGGGACACTTATTAAATGGAAATTCAATAGTTGATCATCAGAATATACAAACAATGCATTAGGGCCCATAATACTCATTTATTCATCCAATTGTTCATCCATTTGTTCATTCACGTTCTTTCCCCAGGCCCACATCGCAGTTTGTTTTCTCACCTCATTTCTATAAAGTCACTGAAGATGAAAGGATACCTCCTGGTGTTGGAGTGAAGCATGCTGGAACTTTGGCTCTCACTCTTGATCCATAATTTGCAGCACGCTTAGTGTACTTGGCTGATTCTGAAAAATGGGACTTGCTTTGCTTTACTTACATGAGAAATGCCCCCAGATTCTCTTTCTACAGCTGGTGCAGGTTGATTGCCCAGCAAGGTTTCTTTCTGTGCTTCCTTCCCATCAGGGAGTTTGTAGTTAGGGCTTAAGGGATCAAACTGACTCCCTGAATAATGTGAAGCTCCAGGGACTGAGATGAAATTGGGAAAAACAGTATTTCATTAGTTATTTTCTGTTGAAGGAAAGTTTAGTTTTCTAAAGTGAATTCATTCTCTTTTCTTTCTTTTTTCTCGTGTTTATTGAACTATGATTACAGATAAAAGCTATATACAGTAAGTTATACAGTGTGATGTTTTATCATATGAATACATTGAGAAATGATTACCCCATCAAGCTAATTACATATCTTTCACCTTACATAGTTACCTTTTAAGATTTACTTATTTATTTTTGTTGTGAGAACACGCTGTTAGCAAATTTCATTATTATTAGCTGTAGTCATCACGCTCTACATTAGGTTATCAGAACTTAATAATCTTGTAACTATAATTTGCCCCTTTCTAGCAATATCTCTCCTTACCCCCAACTTCTACCCACTAACATTCTATTCTGTATTAGCTTTACTTTTTTTTTCTTGAAATATTACATTTATAACTCCGATCATGCAATGTTTGTCTTTCTGTGTCTGGCTTGCCTCAATTATCATAATGCTTTCTAGCTTCATTCATGTTGTCACAAATGACAGGATTTCCTTCTTTTGGAAAGCTAAATAATATTTCATTATATATACACATGTGTGTGTGTGTACATAGACTTTAAAACTGTATTATAGATCACATTTTTTATTTATTTTTAACTTTTTTTAGGAAAGAAAAAGATGTAATATTTTTTGTTTTATACAATACTTAAATGCTAAAAATGTCAAAACATGATGACTAGGTTTTTCTATACCTTATAATTACATGATGACTCTGAATTTACCTTTCCAAGAGTGATTGCTCAGGAAGAAGAAAAAGCAACTTGTCGTAGTCTTCAGGGTCCATACTGCCTTCTGAGACCAGCTGTCCCTAACAGAGCAAAGAAACAAAAATCAGGTGTCCTCTTCCCACCACCGTCCCCCACGTTTTTATTTTTTAACTTGAAGTATTTCTGAATAGCAAATAGGAAAATAGTTAGGATAGAAAAAGTTAGATGACCACCCCCATTCAGGATTGTGTTTCATTCCAGGAGACCGGGCAATAGACTGGATTAAGAATTACCCCTTATCTCTAGGACTTCTGTGGCGAAGTCAAAGATCCACATTAATGTGAACTGTGAGCAAAGGCATAGCTAGTGTAAACTCCTCTGTAAAACAAGGGAATTTGGTCTTCGGTTTTGGTTGGCGTTCCTAAGAGGAGTTACTGAAAAGGTGGTTACACTGCAGTTCTGAAGAAAGGAACAGAACTAAGATGCCTCCTCTTGAAACAGATATGACGGTGGAAACCCAAGATACAGAAAGAGTTGGCTATCATATGGTACAGGAGCTTAAACACCTGTGCTCAATGATAAAGAAGGTAATGTCAGAGCGCTTGGACCGAATCAGGGAATTGAGAGAGTTAACAGAAATGTGCAAGGAGGACTGGCCACAAAATCGAATTACTGAAGTAAATGCAAAACAAGAGAAATTTTCACAGAATGCAGAGAAAGGGGGAAACTAAACCATGAGAGACCAAGAGATACAATCGACACATAATTAGATTATCTGGAAATTAAGACAAAACAAGTAGCTGAAACAATTACTAAGGAACTATTAGAACAAAATTTCCCAGAATTGAAGAACCAATTAGATCTACGAAAAGAAAAAGCTCACAAAGCACTTTTAAAATTTGACAGAAAGCAAGCAAAAAGTAGACATATCCTGGTACCATTTTTAAATCTCAAGAAAAAAAAAATAAAATTTTGCAAGTATCCAGACAGAAAGAAACAGGTTACCTGTAAAGGGCAAAAGTCAGACTGATGTCAGCTTCTTCTCTTGCAACTCCAAGTGTTAGAAAGACAATGGAACAGTATCTACAGAGTCTTAAGGGAAAATAATTTCAAACCAAGAATTGTATGCCTTGCCAAGTTCTCTGTGCAGTTAACTGGAAGATATTTT